CTATTATTTTAGTTTGGCAAGAATTTTAATTTGAGTTCATCTTATTGTTTAGCCTCCCCATAGCTAGTTTTTATTCTACAAACTTTATTATGTCTCTTGTAGAAGAGTTGTATCATGTATGTATATTGAGGATGCATGAACTTTAAATATATAATTGCACATTTTAGAATTAACCTTTAGAATTATTCATGTATCAGTTTGTATGAAGTAAGTGATATCCAGAGCTTATTATGTTTCTATTCTTACAAAATAAATAAGCGACTGAAACATTTATTGTCGTAAATTTATTTTTCATCACTAATTTAAAATGTAATAGAAAATTTAGAAAGAAAATAAAATATATTAAAAAAATTTAATCATGGATATTGGTGACGATTTATAGCTACAAAATTTTGAATTTGAAGTTAAACATAAATGCTCTACTACGTGGCTAGTGTGTAACCATTGCTACATGCTAAATTTTTTGTAGCAAAATAAATTAGAGCTTTTGCCATAATATATCCCTTTGTGGCTAAAGTACAAAAGATAGCTACAAAGTTGGTTTGCTGTAGCAAAAGAATAAGGGAAACTTACACAAATGTCCCAAATAAATCTCAACTTACCAACCTCTAGCCATTAGTCATAGACTTACCAAAACTAGCCAACAAAAGTTGAAAAACCAAATAATAGGGTTCTTTCTCTCAAAGAATCACATGCAAAAATCACCTTCCATATTTTTAAGCGTGATAGCAACATTAGACACAAGACGGAAAGAAAATTTCATGGACGGGGTAGCAAATAAGGTGATGAAATACAAAAATCTATACAATATTCCAAAAATCTAAACAAAAAAGGAACTTTTTCGATGGGTATAGTTGAAATTCATTGAAAATATATAAATAAGTCAATATACAAAATTTGAGGAAGATTGGAGGTGATTTGGACTGATTTTGTATCACAATTCGTAATTAAAGAGTTCAAAAAAGTCTTCTGCGACACATGTATCAAACATGTATCACGCATGTATCACACACACAGGTATACATGGATATACATGTCATACACAATTGATACAAATATGATACATATGTGATACACAAATGATACACAGTGTGATACACATATCATTTTTTTTTTCATGTTCAGCTTTTACTTCGAATTTTCAATTCAAACCACCTCAAAACTTCACCAAATCATCCCAAAACTGAGATTCAAGCTCCTTAAGTTGTGCCCAATCTATTATAATAACACCCACTCAGAACAAAGCAAAAATTTGATATTTTTTGCTACAAATAGCTAATTGGCTAATTTGGCTAATATTAGTAATATTTTATCAATTGGCCAATTTTTGTAATGAGCTACTTATAAATGGACATAGCTGGTAATTTTCCAAAGAATAAACACATTAGCTACAAATATAAATTTTTCGTGGCAAAAGTTTTATCAATATAGCCACATCATAAAAATTCTTATAGCAGTATGTACTACAACTTAGTCATGAAACATTAAAGTTTGTAGCTAACTTTTAGTTACACTATATTTTGCTACGGATGCTACGAAAAAAAATATTGTAGCTAAAGTGTTTAGCCACGAAAATTTTTATATTTAGCTACGATATACTTCGTAGCTATACATGTATTATGTTGTAGTGGTGTAGCTTATTGATTTTCGTTCTGTAAAGGCTAATTCTAGGTTTACTTGATTTTATTGCTTTCGCTTTAACTGTATATTTATATATACGACTCACTTATCGACATCTTAGTTGGCCACAAAGCTTTTTCAGTTACCATGTGATCATGCCTTCTTTGTATTCGTGGGGCAAATAGGATCTGGTTTCAGTCTCTTTCGCTGTGTTGAAAAAGTTGAAATTTTCAAGAGAGAAATTGTTGCAATAGAGTTCCAAAGACAGTATCATGGCTGATCAACAAGCCTACCAGATAACGAATATCATTAAAGGAATAATTAGTTTCTGTTGTATGAGACATTAGTAGCTAGAAAGGACTTAACCTTTGCTCCACGGGGAGTACGTGTCATGTGTGTTCTGTGGAAAAAAAAATATGTGGCTCATATTATTAGATGAGCCCAAAATTTTCGATATAGAGGGAAAGAAAAGACGAGGTTGGTGTGAAGAGGAGCAGTGTTAGCGGTGGGGATGAAAGCACATGTTGGCTAAGAGAAAAAAAAAAAGGAAAAGGGTGTAACTAAATCCCTTAATTGAAGGCACTAATAAAGGATTGGGAGCCTTTTAAGGTGGAATGTATATATTTTGTAAACAAAACTTGTGTAGGTAGGGTAATTTACTAAACATGAACATTTAGGGTAATAAAGTTTCCAATAGTGTATAGGAATGAAAAAATCCCTTCTTTATTTCAGTTTCCTAACTCTGGGCTGCTGTTGATTAGAAAAAAATCTACCTCTCTATCTATTTTTCTTTTCGAGTAAAAGGGAGTCATGTGCACAAGACATCCCGCGTTCATGTTAGAGCCGTCAATATGGGCTTGGCTTGTTGGGCTAGCCCAGCCCAGTCCAACCCGTGATTTAACAGGGTTGGGCTAGAATTTTTGGAGCCATTTAAAAACAAGGCTTTTAAGCTCGGCCCAAGTAAGCCCATGGCCCGTGAGGCTTAACTGAGGCTGGACTGGGCCGACCCGTGGGCCTAATAAAAATACGTATTTAAAGTTGGAAAACTTACACAAAATGTCCAATATAAATCTCAACTTACCAACCTCTAGCCATTAGTCATAGACTTACCAAAACTAGCCAACAAAAATTGAAAACCCAAATAATAGGGTTCTTTCTATCAAAGAATCACATGCAAAAATCACCTTCCATATTTTTAAGCGTGATTAACAACATTAAATACAAGACGGAAAGAAAATTTCATGGACAGGGTAGCAAATAAGGTGATGAAATATAAAAATCTATACAATATTCCAAAAATCTAAACAAAACAGGAACTTTTTCAATGGGTATAGTTGAAATTCATTGAAAATATATAGATAAGTCAATATACAAAATTTGAGGAAGATTGGAGGTGATTTGGACTATTTTTGTATCAAAATTCTTAATTAAATCGAGTTCAAAAAAGTCTTCTGGGACACATGTATCAAACATGTATCACGCATGGATCTCACACACAGGTATACATGGATATACACGTGATACACAATTGATACAAATATGATACATATGTGATACACATATCATTTTTTTTCATGCTCAGCTTTTACTTCGAATTTTCAATTCAAACCACCTCAAAACTTCACCAAATCATCCCAAAAATGAGATTCAAGCTCCTTAAGTTGTACCCAATCTATTCTAATAACACCCACTCAAAACAAAGCAAAAATTTGATATTTTTTTGCTACAAATTGCTATTGGCTAATTTGGCTAATATTAGTAATATTTTATCAATTGGCCAATTTTTGTAATGAGCTACTTATAAATGGACATAGCTGGTAATTTCACTTTAAAGTATATAAAATATAAAAAGTATATGACACAAAAAATAACAAGAAGAGTATCCCAAGCTTAAAGTTTATTAAGCTCATCATATTAAAAGATCAAAGTCTTAAAACGTTAATTAGTTTAAACTTTTTAATTATTCTTAATATTTAACTAATTAATATTGCATACGAATTGTAGATGTAGATGAAAGTGAAGATGTTAAGACAACCTTCCAACAAGCAGATTCAAATGTGTTTGATGAAGATGATGTGTTGGATATCACATAAGCGTCATTGACGTTCTCTTGAATAATTTGTTTTGAGTTTTGACTTTTAGTGAATGAAATATAGTCTTGTCTTTTACTTTTTAGCGTTTATTGTGATATATTGGAACATTAAAAGTTATAAGTTTTGTAAAAAATTTCCAATAAGGTTTTTTAAACTTTTAAATATTAGCTTTTTTTAGGTTAGAATTTAAAGAAAAAATATAAAATTATATTTAAAACAATAATGGGCCGGCCCATGGGGCCCGCAACTCACATAGGCCTAGGGTGGGCTGACCATTATAAGGCCCATCAAAAGGTGGGCTAGCCCAGTCCGTCAATTGCTAAAGCTCATATGGGTTGGGCTAGCCCCGACCCCGCCCATTATGACAGCTCTAGTTCACGTAGGATTCAGAAAAGAGTATGCAAGCATTATTGGCTGCTTCCACGGCAATTTTACATCGCCCTTGAACATTGTTACTGTACCAGATTTAAATATTGGATATGATGGGTGAAAGTCCCTTATATA